AAAAAAAAAGGAAAAAAGTGTTCTTTGTTGAGAACAAAAGGATTTAACAGAAGAGCCAAACCCGCAAGCCATTCAAATAAAGGCGTGCAAGCATTAAACTTCCGTTTATGCTTTGGGATTAGAGGACAAGAGGGGCCACTAAGCAATGTAGACTAAATCTGTCGATACAAATAATGGCACCTTTTTTATGTCCTCATCCCGGAATATTTACAAGTCCAAACAAGGAATAACAATAATCATAAAGTATATATGAAGTGATGTGTGTAAGGATGTAATTTGATACAATATTGTACTTCAAAAAAAAAATGAGAATGAAGAATGATGAAATTCATTTAAAAGAATGTCGATTTTGAATGTATGAAATCTATGACGATAATCTCATATTGCATTTCATTTACTGTAAGTCTCATAAGAGTTGTGAGTCGATAAATACTGATATTTATTGGAAATTCGCGTCAATGAATAGTTAGTTACTAGAATATTTTATAAGAAAAATAAAGTGTAGTGACCATTAGAAAGGAAAAGGAAAATAAAAGGAAATTAAAGTGCAACATGGGATTACAAAAATTCCTAGCGAAAAAACCAAAAACCAATCAAATAAATATCAAAATGTGCAATCCGCAGCAACCAAAATGGGTTTAAAATCACAAAACTTCATACAGTAAAAGTGGCATGAAAGAGAAGTACCTGATCCTTAAAACCGCGAGAAAGCATCTCATCAGCCTCATCCAGCACAAACATCTTGATATGGTCAGCACGAAGTGACTGCCTCCTGAGCATGTCAAACACACGGCCAGGTGTACCCACAACAACGTGGACCCCAGCAGAAAGAATCCTCTGGTCCTCACGTACACTGGTCCCACCAACACAAGCATGAACCTTCACACCAAGATAGTCCCCTAGGGCCCTCATGACCTTTTCAATCTGCTGAGCGAGTTCTCGGGTAGGAGCAAGAACCAAGGCCTGACACTGAGTCAGGCCATAGTCGAGCTGTTGCAAAATTCCCGAGCAGAAAGTGGCAGTTTTCCCAGTTCCAGACTGAGCCTGCTGAATTACGTCAAGGCCCTTGCAGAAAGGGACTATGCCCCTCTGCTGGATGGCTGAGGGCTTCTCAAAACCTTCACGTAAAAGAATACATAACAAGTAAAATAACCAGTCAAATACAGTCCATACCATAGCTCCAATGCTAAATAACCAGTCAATGTCGATAAAATAACCAGTCAAACAAAACAACCAGTCAAATGCAGTCCATACCATAGCTCCAAATGCTACATAACCAGTGAATGTCGATAAAATAACCAGTCAACGGCGATAAAATAAACTGAACAGTCTTTTTGTGCATTACAATACCCAAAAAGAAAAAAGATAAAAATAGTTATCTCGGAAACATACCATAGGCATAAATGCCTCTGAGAAGGTTTTCCTGCAGCTGCATAGCATCGAAACTATCATAAACCTCATCATAAGAAGTAAAGAACTCTTGGCCATCAACTTGGAGCCTGCATCCAAAGTTAGCGTCATAAAACATCCTAACTAGTACAAAGCTTAGGCCGATTATCATGGATTGGAGCACAGTCACATCCGAAACTTACAATTCCATCTTTTCGTCAAACTGACGAGCATCAAACTGTGTACCGTCTGTTGCCGAAGCTGCCATACTGCAGTATCTAATATTCTTTAGTAACTTTATATAGATAAATCAAATAAATTAACAATAAAAGCATCACCGGAACACTTTGGTGATGAGCTAAGCACCTTATTTTTCCATTCCGGATGAAGATATATAAGCCGCAAGGAAGATCTCATGAAAACAAGATTTACAAAAACAATCTTTTCACCTAAAAAAGATTCATAAACTTCATAACACTACAAGATCACAGTTTACACCTAATGTAAACTTCACTAATAGCAAACCTATCCCGAAAAAAATTTATGTTTCCCAATCAAATGACATTAGTATAAAGCTCGCTGATAACAGAGAAAAAAAACAAACATCATAAAGGGCTACCAAAAAAGGAAACTTTATATCGAAAAAAAGGCACAAAACCACCTGATTTCAAGATCCCACCACGCAAACAATAATCCAACAAAAAATCTCGAGCAGAAGCACACACATCACATTAAACGCCTCATCCTTTCATAGAACAACATATAAGCATAGATCGATATGAAATTGGCCACAGACGAACCCTACACTACAAACCACCTAATCATAGAGCGATGGAGGCCAAATTAAGATGAGGGCACAAGAGTAGAAACCAAAAGCGCCACGAATTTAGATCGAACCTTAGAATCAAAAAGAGAAAACAGTAGCTGCGAGGGTGATTCGCTTGCTGAATGAACTCCTCGGATCTGCGCCGCGGAGTTGGAGAACAAAGACTGAGTAATTTTTTCGCTTATTTGTTTGCAATAAACATGGGCTGCTATAAGGTTTCTTCTATTTATAGTGATTATGCGGCTAGGGCCTAGGGCAAATAACAAACTTGCTGGTATGGCATGTATACCGTCACACCATCTACGTCTTTGTCGATATGGCACGTAAATAAACTCGAAATATTGAATGACATGATGAATAAAATTATGAAAATATGGGTATCATTTTAAATATTTGACATTGTCAAAAATTTTAATTACTAGTTGTATACTTAATTTTTATCATTTTATTATAAGAATATAAGGGCGCGATTGGATATCAACTGGGCTTAAATTTTACTCACTTTGGGCTAGTTTTCACTGTTGAACCCGTGATTGGATATCACATAGATGGGTTTTTTCTTGGCCCACAAAAAGCAAACAACAGGTTGTATCCGTCAGAATTACATGCTTTCCCCACTCCCAATACACCAACACCTCCTGCAACATTCATTGCAATGGTCCATCTTTTTGACTTTTCTCTTGCAGATTTCAAATCGCACTTAGCTGGACCATATCAACACAAGATTCTCCTCCATAAATTGGGCTTCAATCGCCTCACCGTCTATGGATCTCTCCCCTCCACGAAATCATCCTGCGACCTCACGTGAAGCGGACGCTGAACGAAGACCCGATATCCCCGCTCAAGACACTACCGAAAGCACCGGTAGCGTCTCCGTCACATCTCCGAAAAAGAAGAGACTCCGGCCAACAAAGGTAGATCATATCCTCCTTACCATCCATTGATTTGTATTATGGAACAACATCGTTCAAGTTCAAGGCGCATGCTTGAATTATTTTGGTTTGTATGGAAAAATTTGGGACAAAAAGGAAACAGGGCTTTTTTGTAGTTAGGAGATTGTTTTAATTTCGTTATACAAACATTGCTGAAGTTTATGTTATGTTTGATCTTACAACCCTTGGATACAAAATTAGGGGCTATGTAAATAGAGACGGCACCCAACAATCTTCGTTGATGGTTATTTCTGCCCTCGTTTTAGTGTGAAAAAAAAAAATAAAGGGTAAGTCCTATGGTAAAAAACACCGCACCCAATCGTTTGTTGTTGTCTTCATTGTTG